CGTATATTTTTAAAAATATTTTGTTAGTAATCAATGTCTAAAAACTAAAATTTTTTATCAAATTAAAAAAATAAAGATTGAATTATTTTACACAGTCGACTTATATTTGTTTGGTTGATTATTTACTTTGTTGATTTATTTATACAGTTGATTTATTATTTTTATGTTCGTCGACTTAATATTTAGCTTCTTCGACTTATTTTAATTGTTGACTTATATTACGTTTGCTTGATTTTTTACTTTATCGATTTGGTTAACCATTGACTTGTTTTTTAATTTTTGTCGACTTAATTTTTCAGTTTTGTCGACTTATTAAAAATGTTGACATATTTTATCGTTTGCTTGATTTTTTACTTTGCCGACTTATTTAACCTTTGACTTATATTTTATTTTCGTCAACTTAATTTCCACTTTCGTCAACTTATTTTAAATTGGTGACTTATATTTCGTTTGATTAACATTTTAAGTTATCAACTTATTTAAACTACTGACTTATTTTTTTTAGTTCGTAGACTTATATTTTTTTATTCATCGATTTATTTTAAACTACTGATTTATATTTTTATTGGTTGATTTTTTACTCTATCGACTTGTTTAAACCATTAGTTTAATATTTATGTTCATCGACTTGACATATTATTATCTAAATTAATTAAATTGTAAATCATAAAATTATTTAATATCAATTCGTAATTTTATTTTATAAAAAAATATCAGTTGGTAATTTTATTTAAATTAATATAAAAATATATTTTAATTTAAATTAATTATTATCTACAATCTTTAAAGATTATAAATCAAATTTTAAATAAAAGTTGGAAAAATCAAATCATTTTTTAAAAAAAAAAATTTAACTAAAAAGAAAACTTTCATTTCAAATAACAAAATATGGTACTTTTCAAAGTTTAATAGATTTAGTATAGATTTCAAATTTCCAATAATATTTTGGGTATACAATCCAATTTTTCCAAAAAGAAATTCAAGATAATGCAAGAAGTGTTGTTACCTTGAGAAGGCCACTTATTAGGGTAAAGTTGACCCAAAACTCCTTGTGAAGATCCATAAGTGAACATCTCCTTGGAATCACCTGATACATAAAAAGAAGCTTAAATCACCAACCAAACCCTATAGTAGAAATCAATCACTAAATTTAGTTCATTAGAGGAATCAACCTTTGGAGGTCAAGGAAGATTCGTGTTTCTCGTCGAATAAAGGTGAGTAACCACGAAGATCACTGCGAGCCATCACCATCTTCTCATCAAGAGGAAGAGAGAAGAAGTTCTTGCTCTCGCTCAACACTTTCTTGATCATCTCTTCCGAAACACCATGATTCATGAGATAGAAGAATCCATGATCGAGACATGCCTTACAGACATAACATCAAACAGTTTATTAGCAAAGAGAGACATGTCTAGATCAAACACACAGTCTGATAAAACCACACAAGATCTCCTTCAAACCAGATTTGCTATACTCAAATCGTAAAGGGGCAAGTAGATCGATCAAAATAAAAGATTAAAAAAAACACATTTTGGGTTAATCGATTCAACAAGTGAAAATGGAAGAACCCCAAAGAAAAGGAAAAAAAAAGCAGAGTGACTGTACAATGTACTAGATTCAGAGACGGAGGTGAGGAAAATACCCGGCGGATCAATTGTGCGGTGGAGATTTTGTCCGGCGACGAAAGGTCAATGATCGGAAGTAGAAGAGTAGATGACTCCATTCGCTTTTTACAAAGTTGATTTGCTCTGTTCGTTTTTCTTCTTTTGTCTGACTGATTAGTGATTTGATTAGAGAGTATTATTAAGCACGGGCATTTGTTTTCTTATAAAATGTTCTTTTTTGGAAACTAAAATATTAATTAGCTTGCAAATGTAAAGTTAAATACAGTCTGAACAAATCTATATATAATAGGAAACCACTTTTTTGTACTTGATGACGTCACTTTTTTTTATAGAAAAAAAAAAATCTCATCCGACGATTAAAACAAAACAAGAGTTTTGATTGAACGGTTCAGATTGAGACATGGTTTGATCCCAAAAAAATCGGAAGGATTTTTTGACGATCGTCGTCTCTTTGCATCAATTCATCAAACGAAGCGTCTAGACTCCTCATGGTTATAAAAATTCATTTTGTTCTTCGTCTTCGTCTACGTCGCTCCATTATTCTCTCTCAAATCGATCAATCAAGCCTAAAATTTCTCATGTTTTGAAAAAAAAAAAAATCTCATGTTTGTGTTAATGAATTGATATAGAGATTGTTGATTTGAAAAGATTTACGAAAGTTTTACTCTGTAATAAAAAAACTGTGATGATTTGAATACTACTTTGAATGTATTTGTCATTATTTGATAACTATCGTTATTGATCTCTAACTTTCGTCAAATTTTGATGATTTTTCGTTGGTTTTCATCGTCTTTGTGTATAATATCTCATTTAGGTAATTTGTTACAAGTCTCAGATCGGAGTTGGTTGTGGAGTACGTCCGATTGATTATTGAATGAATCTGAAGTCATCAGAAGATATATCGGTATTATTCCATATCTACCTCTGTTTATATATATAGTTTAAAATTTGGTATAGTTTTGAGTGTTAATAGTGTTGTGAAATCATATTTTGAGATAATAGAGAAACGCCGATGTTTACTCGATGACTAAGTGCATGGCTTTAATCACAGTGTCTGATTTGGCAACATCTTTGCAAAGCCATGTGTACAATTTGTTATGGACTTTGTCACTTCAATCTTTATCCCTCTTTTTCTTTTGTACGTAGTGTTGATTAGGCCTCTTACCCAAAATTTTGGATTCAATATGTATCTTCTCTAAATCATTCTCCATTCCAGAATTGTGAATTAAAAAGAATCCCGTTCGAATTGCTCACTAGAATCACTTCCTAACATCGTTGGATATTTTTCATTTTTTTTACCCTTAAAGATATGATTCGATGGTGAAGATGGATCAGGATTAAAAGTCACTTCTCATTAGCAAGATTTGGTAGGTTCCTCTTCATCTTGAGAGATTTTAATTGAACATAAGCACCCTTCAAAACTTGAATCGTGTTGGCGATGAAGAGTTGTGATTGCTTGTTTTATTTACGGAAGAGATCCTAGAATCGTTTCACAAACTCAATAATTGGGCATTAAAATTCGTCGCTGCTATGTCACCACCATTTTGAGTTTTGGTTGATTTGTTCTGTTTGTTTCCTTCCTCGAATCAACTCTATCTAAACCTTCGTACCATCGATCATTTAGTATGCATCTTCTCATCAGGGCTCTCTCAAAATGTGATTTGTTTCGTTTGTTAATGTATGGTTACAGATCATAGGGATATGATGAGGCAACCAAGAGTCCAACGTGAAGCTTGCTTGATGCGATAACCTCTGAGTCCTTCGCCTAAAAAACTGCCATTGCTAATCACTTATTTACTTATATAAACTTTTGGTTCTACCACCGTAATTACATTGGGGTTAGTAAACATAACTTTGGTACTAACAATATGGCTTTAGAGATACAGATAATCATTCAAAGATCAAAGAAGTCTACACAATGGAAAGGGTCTTTTTAGGACCGAAGAACTCATTCTTTTTCGAATAAATCCAACATGCCCCTTGATTTGTCTTTACGCTCTCAATCTCTAGCTTCCGACATGATGGTCATTTACATTATCCATAAATGTATGATTTTTTGTTTCCAACAAGAAATCCAGCAAGAAGTTTTGTTTCGTATAATTTCGGACAAATTATTAATTTTATTCACCTAAAAATATCTATATTACGGAATCAAATGTCTTTCCTTACATCTCAGTCTAATGTCTACAAATGAATGCATATATATGAAAGCAAAAATCCATTTATATTATCTTGAGGATTTTTGTTTTTGTTTCAGTTAATCTACTACATAAGTGGTTATGGACTAAAAATAATGTTAGGGTTTAAGATTTATATAGTGGTTTGATCTTAGACTTAGAGATAAATTAACAATTTAGACAAGAAATTGATCACCAAATTCTTCGAAAGTACTTTTCGGGTGGGAACCATCTCCCACAATAGCACTATCAATTAAAAAGTTCTCATAAACGCTCCAACTAGCAGTTCATTTGTTTTTTAAAGCTAAAAACAACAAAGAAAAATTTCGTAAGTGTGAAGACTCTAACTCCCTGTTAGATGCTTTCCCCTATAACATGCAAAAGCAACGTCGGTATAAGGTGAAAAGGGAATATTGTGATTTCCGTTTTTCTTTGCAGATGATGTGCACAACCTTGGCCAATTGGATGCTTAAGAGGTTTGATGACCCAAAGCCGTTATTACTTCAAATACAAAGATGAAGAACTACACAAATCAAAAGTTATTTTCAAGTAAAAGATGAAACTGATAACAAAACATATTTCACTAAAAGTGAAATAATATATTGGCTGGTATTAAGGTCACGAAAAATTATGCATTATAGAATGCATGTGAAACTAATTATTTCTTCCAACAAACTTCATTTTACTGTGCAGAACGTGCAGATTTGTTTCCTAGTAATGATAATGCAGATGGGTGCTAAAACTGATTCGTTGATCTTAGCAACCATTTGAACCTTCTCTTCAATTTAACTCAAAGACTCTTATGTTTTCATATCAGACCTGTTAATTTATGTTCATTAGGAGTAATGATAAGAGCATATGTTTTCACGTATGAAAAGAATCACAAACAATGTTTTTTATATAGAGAAATATCACTTCTCTAACAAAAAGACTCTCATTTAAAAAATGTTTTTACTACCCAATTTAGGATATTTTTTTGTTAAGAATCATTGAGGATGTTAATGATAAACATTATTTGTCTGAACATTATTCAAATGAAAACACACAAATTTAATACCAAATTAGGATCTTAATAACCAAAACACATGTTATTGTTTATTCTTAAAATAAAGTAAGCTAAACTTGAAAACTCCGATATACGTACCATTTTAAATTTGACAACAATATCTTTGCACATTAGCTTCCGATAGAATGTACTGTCTCAAGAAATTTTTCCCCCTCAAAGAGACAATGAAAAATAATTATTAGTAATGACGATGGCTTCGAATAAAAAAAAAACCACAAAGATCAACGCTAGAATATATCAAAATAAGTTATACTTCTTGCGGATAGTATGAGAAGAGAACTTACATTGTGTATTCTAGTCCACTCTCCTGATGACGTGTGTATCACACGTTTAGAAAAATGAGCGATAAAGAGAATTAGATAGATGTATATATAGAGAAATTAGGAACTTGCTATTTCAGAAATAAAAAAAGTGAATGACATCAGTTTACTCCATCTTCTAAGATTCACGACGCAATGGCACTAGTTTACGCTATGACATGTGTTTTCATTGATGAAGGACAATAGCGTCGCCTCTCTCTCCCATATCCTCAAACTTGATTTCATCCAAATGGCATCATTGTGCTGCAACCTCACCTACTGGCTCGTGAAGCACCCCAACATATATAGCAAATTTCACCGGACCGAAGGTGAGACCCTTGGCTGTCTTCTTTGTCTCTGTAGTAGTCTCCGCTTACCTGTCCGCCACATTCCTCCTTTGCTTTGCCTTTGATTCATTCCCCTCACTCGGTCGGAGTTTTCGTCTCTTTGATTCATAACATGATTGCTTTGAAGATTCTAGGCAATTCGTAAGCTTTAGCTATGGATTGAGAGAATATGGATTTGAGAAAAAGAAAACGAAAAAAGGATGGAGAGAGGAAGGAGAGATTTGAGTTCATGAAATTAACTTTTTAGAGGAAGATGAAACAGTTTAAAAATCGTGAGATAGTTTTAAAGATTGTGTTGTTATAAACGTGTGTGGTGTGAGAATAATTTCAGAGATTTATAGAATCGAGTTATAATCTGTTATAGAAAATAGTTTTACGTTTTTTAATAAATTTTTTAAAATATGAAAAAAGGACATGTAGCATAATATTATTGTGCAAGTGACTCGTGATTTAGTATATTAAGGATTAATTGTCGTTATTTTTTTGTATTTTGACGGATTAGTAAATAAATGGGCCTTAATGGGCTCACCGAAACCTTTTAATTATCCAAATAAAGACCAAAATATTTAAGTTGGTGCAAAATCACCCCTTGAGTGAAAGATTAAAACAATCAAAACTATTAAGAATCAAGAAATATKTAACCTTTTAAATTAAACTGATTGTGACCAAAAAAAAAAAATTAAACTGATTGATACTGATTTTTAGCGTCTAGTATCTACGAACACTGATCATTGTTAATATTGTAGTTCATTTCATTGTAACCTTAAATTAATTAGCTCATTTCATTATTTTAGTTTTTTTTGTTATGGTATATTACTAATAAATAACATTGGAAAATATACATCGAAATTTTAGACAAGATTGGAAAAACAACAAATATATTTTACTCAAACCCACTAGTGTCATTATAAATTATACATTTTAGACAAAGCATTAGTGAAGACATCACCTTGCTTTTTTTATCTACATATTTAAATGGGGTTTTTTCATTAATAAACATAAGATTTAGGGTCTGAATGGAGAAAGCGTATCAATCGGTGCAGATCAGGCGGATCTAGCGGAACAAAAGCAGAATTAGCGGATCAAGCGGTATAAAAGCGGATCAAACATATCTAGCGGTCCAAAATGTTTGTGTGAATGTTAAAAGCGGATAAAAAGCGGTACAAAATACTGTATATATTTATAATAATTTATATAAAATTTCAATTTGTTATTTTTTTTACATAATCAAAAATTTATTAAATTAGATAATTTTAGAAATTTAAATTTATAAAAGCAAACAAATATAAATATTAACTAAAAGGAAACAATGCTATTTAGTGTTGTAACTACAAAATAATAAATAAAAATAGTAATAAATATGCCATACAAATGTTGATAGAGGCAATATATATTTATTTAGTTTAATAGGTTTCTCAGATTCTAATAACTAAAGAAATTATTATTAAATTAACTAAACCACATGCATGACAAAGCTTAAACCACTCCATTTTCTTGGTGTTTTTACTGTAACAAGCGGATCTCAATATTTGTTCATGTTTCGGACCGCATGTGGTCGAAATTTTTTTTAAATAGATTTTCTAGCGTACGTACTGGTAATACAAATTAAACGGTGAATGGGGATTTAAAAGTGTATGAACCCATACAGTGGGTGATCCGTTGTTTGGTCCGCCTCCCATTCATAGCCTTAATAGGTTTGGACATAAATACATAGTACGTATGATTTCAAATCAAACAATGTTTAGAAAAGAAGAAGAAGAAAGGATCTTAGGAGAGTGACTCCTTTAACTTAACAAAAAAAGGAAGTGCTCCTTAATTGATGGAAAATTTAATAATAATAAAGGTGGACCATAATCATTTCTAATGACCATGCATCTAATTTTGATGATTCCAATGCCACATGAGAAGACATTGCCCAAACACGTTTCTCTTTAGCTCTTTTTGCTTCATCAACATTGTCTCCATTAGTCCTGGGATT